CCGTTATTATGACTGGAGGGCTGAGTGAATAGAGACTGGCAATGCATATCTCGACAGTAATGACTATAAACTGGAGATAAATGGTGAATTACTTGCAACCTCAAAGGCTAGAAGAAACCCTTGCTAATCTGCATTGGTGCATTGGTGTTTTTTATCCTATTTTACCCGAATCGACTGATCCTTCGTCTCCCTCAGGACGCAATTAGTTGATCATATCTTCCTCTCTATTAGGTTTGCGTATTTTTGTGCTTTCTGAAAGATCTTTTGATGTTGTTTCGGTTCTTCACTCTCGTTCCGGCTTGTTGGAGCAACTAATAGGCTCGAATCGCTTCCAAAATATGGGGATAAAGCATACAAGTTGAATATTTACTTCCATAGGACAAGAGAGAATGCAAGAGAGAATACAACCTGTAAACTTTGGTCTACGCTTATAGTCGTCAGTATACAGGCTTTTACAAACAGGGCTGCCGATGTCTTTAATGCCTCATCATTACGCCCAACAGGACTTGAACCCAGTACCAGCGTTAATTTGTTGTGGTATGCATGGCTTTCACTTCAAGGCTGACCTGTTATTCGGAATGGAGCCGGAAAACTAATCTTTTCACACAAATATGTGGAGTTTCGCTACAGAAGCTCTCGTCCAATGGGGATCACTTGCCGGTGTGGCAAATTTAAGATTGACGGAGCAATAAGGAAGGAATGATAATATGGTTTCTGAGAGGTCATTATATACAAGCAGAAGAATTAATGAAAGTAATAGATGATTTTGAATATTAAAAGAAGTATTGTTCTAGCATTCGGCTGATACCCTCGTGAAACTATTTGGGATGAAGTTTTTATGGATGCCATGGCACTTTGGTTGATAAGTACATGTCCTCTCACGCATCCTGTGCCCGCATATATACAAGAAAAAGATCCATTTGAGAGCATGTTAGGACAAATGAAATGCACTACATGTGTCTTTTCGGCCCTTGTCTCGACTAATTTCGGGTCCTATCTTACTCAATATCAATAGATGGTCACTCTATATGGAAGTCGGGCAGCTTAGTTTGAATGTCATTTCGTTGTAGGTGCCGATCCTGTTGCAGATTCAAGGAATAGCACAGAAGATAATTTGAGTCTGCTCGTTAAGTCGTCTCTTGGCCCCAGTGACTCGTTCTCCAGACTCCCGGGCGCCTTGAGACTGAGCTGATCCCAGCAACCAGTCCGGACGTTACACCGGCTCCATTATGCTGCCCAGTCACCTGAAGACGGGCCTCGTTGCCTGGGTTTCCTGCGGCCGAAAGGCTGTCCGTCTGGAGGGTGACTACGCCGTTGCCCCCAGTAGCAGCGATACCGCCGCCATTACTCGGCATCAGATGTTGTGGATGCAGCGGAGAGGTGTGTGAATGGGAGTGAGTGTGCACATGCCCCTGAGTGTAAGGCTGTGCATGTAGTTGTGCCATGTGGTTGTCGAGGTTCGTCTGTCCAGCTGAAGTCTCCTTCTCCAAGCTCTTTAGACAATCGGCCACCACGGCCAGCAGAGTATTCAATGAAGACAGCATTGTGGGCACGCCGAAGCCGTGGGTGATCATGCTGAAGTGAGTGAGTGCTCGCTGAGTGGGCGGCTCCAACACACTTACGGGCCGGTTGGGTGGGATCAGGTTGGTGGAGAGCGGAGTGCGGTCCTTGGAGAGTAGATCAGTCAGCTCGAGTAGTAGCTGCCTGAAAAAATTAACGATTTGCTTTAGCTATTTATGCATACATGTTTAAGTAAGAAGTTGATACTTTCGATTACGTGACAACGGCGACTAATAGCATTAGTGACCCCAGAAGGACTAAGAGTGAAACTTCAAACAATCAGATCAGTTGGCCATACAATGCTGTGGAATTAAACTTAGCTTCATAGTGTTGGTTTGAACTTTTTTTCGCAACTTTTTCGCAGCGTCAGGAAGACTTTCTGGAACGTACTGTATCCTCTGACAGAGTATACGTGATTGCCAGCAACGGATCATTGACTTGGTACACTCCTAAACGTTCATATTCTCACATCGGAGGATTTCCTGAAAATACACAAGATGACAGACAAAATGTCGATGAGGATCTCGGACACCAGAAGGAGCTGAATCAATATGGGATCTATAGGCAACCAAAGCTCCAACCACCCGACACAAACGGAGATCACTCTAGAATAACAAATCCCATGGTCCAGACAAGAGATGAGGATAAAGTAGTGAACCTGCCTTTCGTCCATCGTGACCTCGAAATCCCAGAGATTCTCAGGAAGGGACTAAATTTAGCATTTCGCAATGAAATGAAGGCAATAAATGATATTTTGAGGGGGGTGAAAATCATCCAAACAATCTTGACGCATTCAGAACCCATGGATAGGAACAATAAAACCAGGATAGAAAGATTCTACCACCAGTCCTTCATCACCTTGAACGGAATAGGGTAACTACATTTCATATAACTTATTTAATGGTAGTCTCG